CGGGGCCTTGATCTGCCCCACAACATCCCTTCCCTTCTCTTCCCCCCTCCCCTTCCACCACAACAGACTTACCAGCTGGATGCAGCTCTTCAAGCTGCAGGACTACATATTGGAAATCAGATCTGTGTTGGCTGATATGCCTTCTTGAAACTCGGCTATCAGTATCAGCCCCCAAAATCTCTATCAGTGAACCCCTAACACACTAAAAGAAAGCAACCAAATAATTTCAGTAGTTCAGTTTGGAATTAAATGAGTTATAATTATATTCACTTTGTCAGATGAAGTGAAATTTAAGTCATTTGGTCTAAAGACAATGTTGGTCATCAGAACCAATACTAGAAAGCTTGTTCATTTGCAGATTGAATTTTTAGGAAAGGTATGTTTGAATCTGTTAACTTGTTTCACTCTGTTTTCCTAATTATCTTTGCTTAAATTTGTTGTCTTTACATTTATTTTATTTCTTCTAGAGGGTTTGCAGGATCAGACCTTTAGCCTTTTCTTCGTCTAGAAAGATAGAAGTAGGCACTGAAGACCTACTAAAACTTTACCTATGCTTAACAAACAATTATCCCCCTCACCCTTTCTCTGTGCCCACTATACTTCCAAATCACTTGCATTTATTCATGCACCTCCACTGTCCTATGCTGATATGTGTAGCAATATCAATCCTGGAAATGTGTGCTATTTCTGGAGACTACAGATATTAAAGAATTTTAGAAATGTTTTAATAGTTTTTTTTTCAAAACTGCTTATTTCCCTCTATCTGTATTTTAGAGAGGAATATGGTACTCCAGGGCAGGGGCAGAGAGGGCCTGGCAATGTGGTCACATCGTGTTTAGACTGTGATACATAAGTTCTCGGCACAGAGTCTGGCCTGGTCTCCTGCTTTTTTATGGTTCCAGAGCCCAAGGCCTGACTGCCACAATTGCTCATCCCCTACTGTTGTCCCCTCCTTTCCTCTGCTGCTGAGTTCAGTGGAGAGGTGGGGAAAAGGGGGAGAGTGAACAGCAAAGCTCTGTTTACCTCTGCTCTTTTCTAGAGTTAGAGCCCTTACTCCTCAGGTGCTTATTTGATTTGTGTGTGTTTGTTTATGAATAATTAACAGGTTTATTTCATTTTTACTCTTTTAGATGCCACTAGATCTCTCCCCTCTTGCAACACCAATCATAAGAAATAAAATTGAAGAGCCTTCAGTTGTGGAGACAACTCATCAGGACAGTCCTTTACCTCATCCAGAATCCACTACCAGTGATGAAAAGGTCAGGAACCTATTTTTCAAGATTCAGAACTACTACTGATAAAGGACATTGACTGATGCACTGACTTTTTAAAAAAATTATCATTACTACTTTGATGATCCAGCTATATACTGAACACTAATATTAGTCACATGACTCATTCAGGTAATCAGTTCATAGTGAATTCTAAATTAAATTAAACTCTTAGGAAAGGAAGGGATTTTTGCTTTGTCGGCTTCTCTGAATATTGGTTAATATTTTGAATGCAGGAAGCCTTGTTTAAAGATACAGAGCCCTCAACCCTACAGTTAAGCTTTGCTCACAAGAGTTCTCTGTTGATTATCTTTTACACCTCCCACTGGTCATCCAAAAAAACAAGAGAGAAACAAGACTTAACACTCCTGATATTACTACATTTAAGAGCAAAACTTTTTAAAAGCCCTATTTACATATTATTAATTAGGAAAAAGTGGAAAGAAATTTCAGTTTCTGAAAAACCTTTAGAGGTCAGCTTCAGCATAATTAAAGCTTCTTTATGTCTGAGGATCCTGATTTTCTCTGTTAAAAATTCAAAATTATTTGATTTAAGACCCCCCAAATTTGCATTTTTCGATTATTAAAATAAAATGCCATTTTATTTTTATATATATATATATAGGTATCTGTTGAACACATTTTATTTATATTTTTACAATATTAAAGCAATTTGGAAGCCTACCAGTGCCTTAATCATTCTAATAAAATAAATTCTAAATACCTATATATTTTGGCATTTGATTTTGGTATTTTTATCATGGAAAATCTGAGTTCTCCCTGCCACCTTCACTCACCAGGATGCATGTCCAGCTGCAGCTGTTTGGCCACTGCTTTGTGGCAGTGAGCAGCCCTGATAATGCCAGTGTCCTGCCCCTTCCCATGCCATTGCCCCTCACTCCCAAGCCACAGCCCACCCAGCCTTGCTCCCAACCCACTGGCCCTCACTCCTGACCCACAGTCCCCTGGCCCTGGTAGTACAAGGGGTTCCAGGTGGTCTCCATCCTGCTTGTGATAGCTGCAGTGCTCCAGCTCATGCAGGCGGCAGCAGAGCCAGTCCAGCTCAAGCATGAGCTGGAGGGAGGAGGAGGGGACAAATTATGCCAGGTGGCCTGGCCCCCACCCCCACAGGCAGCATCTCCAGCCACCCCACCCCTGACCCTGAGAGCACAGGCACCAGTCCTAAGTGCTGCCAGCCCTCACTGCCCCCAAAGGGCTCTACCATCCCCTTCCTCCACTGGAGGGACAGGCACCTCTGGGTGGGCCCCAGATGACAATGATGCAGAGCTGGACTCACCCGTGGCACTGAGTGCTGCCTCAGACCCTCCTGCCCTGCTGTAGCCCCAGTGCCTGGACACCTTCGCTTAATGCTGACAGGCAGCTGTGTTGTGTCAGAGGCACGCACACACACACACTTCTTGCACGCATGCACATGCACACATACACACATCTCACAACCCTTTCCTTCCCCTCTGCCACACGTGCCTCACCCCACCACACGCAGCTGCCAGACAGTCCCTAAGTTCTGGCCCTCCACCCCCCTTCTTCCCCCGACCCCATCCCATAGACTTACCTGTATCCAGCTGCTGGGGCTGCTCCCACCACCCTGCCTGGCTGTATTGCCAGCCATATGTGTGCACATGCACGTGGTGCCTTCTGCCTCTGATAGCCCTCCCCCTGCTTCCACCAGCCCCAAGCATCTCCTTGTAGGCTGGAACTCTGCCAGTCTGCAAGGGGAAACCCACAGTTTCCTTCTTCAAAGGAAAAAATCTGGGTTTTGAAAAGTCTGCATTTTACTGCAGGCAAGGAAAACCTGGATCCCTGCTTATATCTATATTATTGGTGTTCTTTACCTTACAAATTGGAGCAGACCTGTCCAACTTTTGAAACGCCAGGGGCAGCATGCCACACAACACTTCGTCCTCCGGGTACTCCCCTTGTTCGCAACTGTTTAATGGAAAAGTTCAGCTATTTAAAGGAACCAAGCTAAGTGTTAAAATAATTTACTTCAAGATGCCATTCATAGTTGTTTTGAGACAGGTAAATTCATGAATTAAAATCCCTGTATTGCTCTTTTTACCAAAATTAGCTTATTTTCTGCCCAAGAATAAGCATTCTAGCACTCTGATATTTACCAGAAAAGAGTTGTAAGGATTTAAATGATAGCTCTACTTTTGTATGTTATTACCATCATTAAAAGAAATACTTAGAAATACTTAGACGCACGTAACAATTGAACCATTCCAAAATGTCAGTGATTATTCATGAGTTCACAGTTGTGTGAAGTGCTGTGGTCATGACGGGATGGGAATGAGTAATCCAGCCCAACATGTCTTGGAGTGGGAAAATAGGGGTGGAGTGCTTGCACCCATGTTATGAGAACACAATGGGGTGAGTGAGTGTTTTCACTTTTCTGAAAGAGTGGCCGAGAGTGTTTTCAGTTTTCTGCTTTCTCTTTCCTCCTATATAGGAGTTCAGTAAACGTAAGTAGCCTGCAGTTAACTAAAGTCTTCAGTGTGCTTGTCTGACTTGGTGAGGAGAGAGGAAATGATTGACCCCATGCTTGTTGGTTCCCAGGAGTTGAGTGAGGCATGGGGAGGGGCTATGGTTGAGTAGGGAGTAAGGACACCGCAAATTATTAGAAAAGATAGATTTTATTGAGCAAACAGTACAAGGGAACTGCAAGAGAGCTCATTGATTTTGTGGGGTGGTAAGGGGAGTGCCAACAAAAGGAAGAAAAGGGGGGCAGTAGAGTTCTAGCTCCATACCAGAATGTCCAATTGCTACAGTCAGGGGAGAAAGGGGCTGGGTGAGGAATGATGCATTATGAGATGCTGGGAGGACTGACTAAACCCATGTCACAGAATGTTTGGTTTCCACACATAACAGTGAACTGTTCAAAACAGTATTTGATGGTTGAGGTACACTTTTGAACTGTTTCAGATAGCTTTGAACTGATTTAACTAACTTATGTTAGTTATGTCTCTGCTTCAGGTTTAAGCCATATTTAAACTGTTCTAAGTGTTACTTATGTCCATGCTCTCAGCATTATAATTCTTTGGCAGTTCTTTACCAAATACATCACACCCATGATGCTGAAATTTCAGTGATATTGTATTTTGGAAACAGTGCTGAAAATTGTTGCTGCTTAATGATGTACTGTAGCTCCTGGTTATCTCTATTTTTGGTTGTATAATTGTACAGACAGACTGAGTTGGTGGTGAGGGGGCTGCATAATGTGTTGCTGCTGAATGAGGACTGGTGAAGTTAAGAGATGTGAGCAGAGTGATGCTGTTTGCTCTCTTGTGAGATTTCAGTATTTTCCTCCTGTTTTCTTACTGAAGTGGGGAAGGCACACCTCTTTCCAGCAGGGCTTGGCTGGGTTAAAAAAAACAAGTTGCTGTCACTCTTTCATTGGTTCTGTGGATTGGTTGTGGCAGTATTTTTGCAGTCCATTAATGCATGTGCAACAGACTTCTAATTATCTTTAGTCACATAAGAAAACTGGATGCGATCGTCTTTAAATTGGCATTTTATTTCTTTTTTCCTACTCTATTTTGTGAGATGGGGCTGGCCAGCTTGTGGCCCACAGGTTCCTGCCTGGCCACCACTCACCCCCAACAACTTCTGATGTTGGCAAGGTCTGCAGGCTCCCCTTTCCTCCTCCAGCTTCTACTTCTTGCCCCCATTCCTGGGGGTGGAGTGTCACAGTCCACACAGTTGGGGAACCTGGGAATTGTGCACAGTTCACAGGGCGAGGGAGCCCATGGGTTGCAGAGGGGTGGATGCTCAGAAGTGGACAGATCTGTTTTGGGAGATCCTTTTTGTTCCATCAGTGTTTAATAGTTGAAATTCTACATCAAATAGATTCAGTTATCCTTACTTTACCTATAAGTCTTTCAGCTTTAAAATAATAAATTTTTTAACTAATTTATTCTTTCAGGGATTTTTAATAAACAAACATTATAGTTTCTTCTTAATAATCTTTGGAGAGGTATATCTTAACTCTATTCAGTATGGTGGCTTAAGAATTGCCAGAATACTCATTCTCCAATTGATATAGCTATTTTATATCCAAAAATTTATTTCTGTAGTATTCAGTTATAACATTGTACAGTATTTTTGTGTGTCCATTTGTACATGGAACATAACAGTGCTAGAAAGTTATTATATGGACTTGTATTTGGATGCAAAATAGTCGTATGTAAGTATAAGCAATAAACAAAGATTTGCATTTTCAGTGGAAAATGAATTTAGAAGTAGTTAAAGTCTTTGGTAAAATACATCCTTCAGTGTTTCCTTGCAGTTTTGAGATGAAGACTTAGTTGTATTGATAGAAGAAATCATTTTCAATTAGGTTTTTGGTACTTTGTGATTGGTTTAAACTTGAAAGGAAAGCTTCCATAGCATCGTTTTAGGACTCTGACAATACATCCCTGTGATCCTTTCTGCCTCTAAAAAGAATATCCTTACGTCTTTTAAAAGTCAGCATTCTGACAGAAATACAAAAGCTCTACAAGAAATTTTGGGGTAATCTTTTGAATGCCACTTGATTGCCTCGGTATGCTCTGTTTTGTTTTGCTTTTTTAAAATTGTGCACATTTCCTTTACTTTCTGTGCCGCTTACATTTATCATCTGCTATTGTTAGCATTTTCAACTTTAAACTTAAAGTTAAAGCTCTTATCAAATTGTGTGTAGAGAGCACAAGGTATAGCTAGCACTCATATGCATCTTTCAGAACATTAGATGAAAGAAAATAGCTTGGAAATAAGACAAAACGTAAGTTGCAAATGTTGCATTTGAGCTCATGTAAACATGCATGGGGTATTAAAACATATTATCTCTGAAGCTTGAAGTCTGTTTCTGGATGGCAAGAAGCAGTTTTCCAGGGAGTTCCTTTAAGTAAAACCCTGTCATTTAATTTAATAAAATAGGCAATTAAAAACATAACTGTTTACTTTTTGTACTTTTTAAGTCTCCAAACATC